CCGTCACGTCACTGTGGGCTAGCTTTATACGACCATTCAAATCAGATTTTTTGAGCACGTGGCACAGAGCAGATCTGCATTACAGCCCTGAAACAGCAAAAAAGCCTGTGGAATCTGGTATTTTCAGATGTGTTTGAGCAACATTTAAGGAGAACTGCACAGAATGTAAAAGTAGCTGTCAGTGAGCACATCATGCAGTAAGTCAGGGAACTTGGAGGTGACCTTGAACATGTGTATTTTTATACGATTTTTGCATTTTGTTTAAAAGAAAAATCTCGCTAAAAACACGCTATCAAGCGCTGTCAAGAGCATGCCAGACCACCAGAGCCTATTAAAATAAACAAAGCAGGCAGTGGCGCACAATCTGACATCAAAAGCAGCAGATAATGGCGCACACTCTGACGACGCAAGGCAAAAACTCAGATTTTACTGTCTACACGACAACACTGCATCCGGAGTTTCTTAAAATCTTCACCCTGGCAAGAGTTTTCAAAAATGTTCGGTTTCAGCGACCTGATTCTGCGTTTCTGTGTGGATGAAAGTCAAACCGCGTAGAAAAAGTCATGGTTTTGAAAATACTCATGTACATCTAGACAGGGCTTCAGTTGCTTCTCTCGCTTCATGTAATCACAGACAGACTCGATGATGTTGAGATCAGGGCTTTGTGGGGGCCATGCCATCACTGCCAGGACTCCTTGTTCTTTACGCTGAAGAAAGTTCTTAATGACTTTCGCTGTATGTTTCGGGGTTGTTGTCATACTGCAGAAGAAATTTGGGGCCAATCAGATGCCTCCCTGATGGTATTGCATGATGAGTAAGTGTCTTCCTTTCGTGCCTCTCAGGATTTAGGAGACCATTAATTCCCCAACTCTGTATGCAAAATTGCAGCACCAAACTTGCAAGGAACCTCTGCCATGCTCCACTGTTGCAGGTGGGGCTGCTCAATTATGGCAGAAATCAATCAATAAACACAATTATTTTGGTCAATATTGAGATCACGATTAGTTTTACACGATTACTCACTGACTTAGGAAACAGCAATCATTTATTGAACTTGTCAAATTGAATCTGAATTTCAAATCCCAAATTGCCTATGAAATAACAAATAGTTATCCATAAATCTTCCATGAAGGCCACTTCTGACCAGACTTCTACAGACAGTAGATAGTTTACCAGGGTCCCACGGCTGGTTCTAAGCTGATGGCACTCAGTAGTTGGAGTAGTAGTAAAGTAAACATGATGTGCACCTGCTGCAGTTTATTCTCCTCAGCCCATTTCTTTGCGCTTCTTCGTAAGAGCTTGACAGCACATCTGGAAACCCCTGTCTGCCTTGACATTTCTGCCTGGGAGAGACCTTGCTGATGCAGTATAACAACTGTGTTGTTGTTAAGCTCAGTCTTGCCATGGTGTATGCCTTTGACAGTAAACTGTAAACTGTCTTCAGCAGCCTCACCTTATTAGCTGAGCTTGGCTGTTCCTCGCCCAGTTGTATTCCTCCTACACAGCTGTTTATGTTTCAGTTAATGGGTGTGTTTCAACCTTCATGTGGAATTAATGATTGTTAGCACGTGTTTGGTATAATTATTGAATCATACACATATGCCTACAAAATCCCTGACTTTGTGCAAGTGTACCTAGAAGAACTCATTCTGTTTTGAAGGCAAAGGGTGGCCACACCAAATATTGATTTTATTTAGATTTTTCTTCTGTTCACTCATTTTGTAATTTGTAAATTGGTGAATATAATCTATGAACATGTCTATTTTTGAAAGCATTTTTACTTTACAGCAGTTTTTCCACACCAGCCTAAAATCTTTACCTTTTTCAAAACGCAACAATTATGAATGTTGTACATAAAAAGGCTTTGTGGTCTCTTTCTTCATTCAGACCTGCAGCATGATGCTAATTAAGCTAAAAATCGTGAACTAGGATTCAAGTATCAAGTATCACCTCTGATGGAATGTTTAACACATTTTCTTCCTTCCACCTCAAAAGTCATTGCATGTATGTATGAACAAAATATGAAAATCTGGATATCTTAGCCTCTCGTGGACTAACTTGATGGAAGTTCTAAAATGCTAGAGTTAAGTTTATTACTATATATAATCTAAACCCAAAAATCGGACTTTTCAGGAAACCACAATTTGCCCTATTGGCTTATCCTGCTGTTTTTCAACCAACAGAAAAAGTAAAGGTGCTGGTAGAGCTCTGCCATGAACTACAGCCCCCTCTCCATGACCCCAGCTGACCTTTGGGCCCCAGACCTGACTTCTAAGCCCTTAGCACAACTCTGACTATCATTGTTTCTGTCTTCTTTACACACATGGCATGTTGGAGTGTGACTGCGCTTGTAGGTTGACTTTCTCACATACACAGTCAGACTGTTGCTGACAAATCGAAAAGTAAACAGGTGGCCAAAAAATGACACCTGGGGTTTAAACATGTCCTCCCTGCTCGTGTGTCACCTTCCTTAATAAGCAAAGTAAATAAATTCTATTTAGAAAACAGACTACCAGGTCCATCATTTGGGGGGGGGGGCAAAAATGCAGGAAAGTGTGAAGTCACCGGGTGCTGAAAAATTGCTCTTTTAAAGTGTTGATTCAAAGCCAAGATTTCTACTTCACACCAGCCACTACAGCCAAATGCTGGTACACTTAATACTGTGCTTAAGTACATTATTTATTTTCAAGATATTTGATGATGTGGAACCAAAATGCTAAGGGTGTGACCTATTCTAAGTGGTCACTACAGCCCTGGAGATAATTGTATAACCCTGCGTTTGTGGGGTAAATCTTGATGAATCTTTTCAGTCACAGTCGTGACAAAAATTTGTACAATGTGTAGATAGGACTGTCGATATTCTCTAAAGTTATGTAATTGGAAGTTTCCCTTTCAGACATCTTCTTCAGCTTACGCGCACCGTTACGTAACTGTTCTATTTGTAACACACTGCTAAAGTACACAGCAATTACCCAACTGTTGTACTGCTCGCGACAACGGCCCTGGGACAGCGGCAGCACAGCTAGATCAAACAGTTGTGCTAAATTAAAGAGCGGGTTATCAGACCAGGCAGGAGTGTTTGATGTGCAGAGATGAGATGCATTATTATGGTAAATATGCCTCCCTTATCAAGCTATTCCTACAGGGCCCTCTGGCTGAGCAGCCCCACAGTAGTGTATGCCCTTGGTCAGACAAATACAGGCATGTACCCACACACACACACACACACACACGCACACACAGACACACGGCAACATGAGCGGCAGAGAGCATAAATACATCTCTGTTGATCCTTTACACTCCACTCCAAACAGCCGCCTGTTCTCCAAATGTCACTCAGTTTCTGGCATAATTTGTTTCTAATCATTGGCAAAGAGTGGGAAAATGTCACCGTTTTCCAAGGAGGATGAATTCCGATTGATTTCCAATTAGCGCTGAAACAAAATGTACGTTTGCTTTTTTTCTCTGTGTGTGAGAGAGATTGCTTGTCTTGGCGTGGTGGTTAAGATCAGGAGAGACATAATGCCCTGAAGTCCATAGGTGGAACATCGCAAACAACAATCATGTATTTATGGCACTGAAATAGCCATCACATGCTGGAAAACAATAGAACATAAAGTTTATAACATTGTATTCAGCTAAAGTGAAGACAGAGAAATGAGGTAGAATGAAGGGAGACTCTAACACTCCAACTGATGGTGTAACTTCATCACTTAGGGACAGTCAGACATACCTTTGCGTTCATAGAACCGGCCCCCACCTTGGTGGGGTCCAGCTAAAAGCAATATCCTGGATGGAAAAGTGTTGTGATTTGAGGTTGCCAGGAGCCATTAACTCATCATTTCTGAGAGAGAGTTATCATTTCTGTAAGTCAATTTACAGCAACATGTACAGCTGTACAATCATTTTGTTGAACGTTTTTCTGACACAGGAAGATGACGTCTCCAATCTTAATCCGACCTACAAAACTCTGCTTAGTTAGTTGTTTTCACACCAGGCCAGCCGTCAACAACCTTTGAATTGCTGAGGGGAAAAACCATTAGATATGAGAGCTGTGAAATGTCTGGAACAAGGTTAACTAATCAAAGGTCAGTGAGTTATACACCAAAACATCATCCCACCACTTACACAGCATTTAGGGGGAAAAAGCTGCATACTACTTGTACACTGCATACATAATATCTAAATCAAGCAATCAGAATGTTAAAATTTAAACAAATTGCTCACACCCATTAAGTGAATTAAACTGTGTTAATCATTTCTGTTTGCTGTATTTGGTTGCGTTTTCTGTATTTTCAGTGCCTTTCATTTTTTTTAATGCTGCGCATATGCCAAATTGATGAAGACTTTTTCTTCATTTGCTTTTGTCTATTATTTAAGCTCACAGGGTCACTGTACAATCTAAAGAGGACTGGCAGTTCAGATGAAGCCTGTGCAGTGGTGCCAGGAACTCTACTGTGTAGGTGAAGAAATCAATAAGCAATAATGTAAAGCTAACAGCAACTTATCTAATATAGCAGGATATTTACATTACATGACTCAATGAAGCCATGGGCTATATGGATGTCCGCCCAACATACAATTAAATGGGCTGAGTAAACAATGTAACATGTACCATAAATCACAGTTCAGTCCTCAAACAAAGAAGCAAGACTTGAGTTGAACATCTTTTTCATCAGCACGTTCTGCTCATTGCAATGTGTGACTGTGTGACAAATTTACCTGCTACCTATCTGTTTCCCTGAATACGGTGCGTAGGGACATATAGGCCCAAGTGTCGACAGGCATCAGCTTTTTGTCTTAATGTGCATGCCACTGACGGCAAAGCTTGTTCTGCATTCAGTGGTGGAACACTAATTTCATCCAGCAACAAATAAATTGCCAAAGTAATTTCTTGTGAGTGACAGTGGATGTAAGCTTCACCAATTAAATCAGTCAACTTAGCAGGAAGAGGCACAGAAAATAATAAATGAAGACTCAAGAGAAAAAAAAACATATCAGCATATTAAAATCATTTATTGTGCTCCAGAAGAGTAATTACTATTTAACCAGAAAGAAAGACAAGTGACAAATAATCTACATTACAAATGCCAGACCAGCCCATAAAGTGCCACCTGTTTCACATGGCATTCAAAGAACAAACCCACCTTTAGTTTTCAGACTGCTAGCAAAAACCTCTCAGGATGAAACTGAGGGTTTGGTTGTTGAAGTTTCTGCTGCGATTTGAGTTTAGAAAATGGCACGTTGCGTTACATTCATTCGCAGTGCTTGTTCCTCCCCTCCCTGTCTGTCCCGTACACTACAGCACAGGCTGACTGTCGACCACAGTCAGGGCAGATTTACACTGGAACAAAAGTGAAGCATCCCCCTAGAACAGGGTTTCTTAACGGTCTTCAGTCCCAAACGGCGTGGATTCATTCTCACCCTGCTAGACTGGCTCACTGAAACATACTGCAGTTGGGATTCAACAGAAATGACTGAAGAAATGCTACCTGGATTTGTTCGGAGTATCCCTCTTTGAATGATGGACACACAGTTTTAAAGGAGGGTGACATAGGATGGGAGTCATTCTCAACTCAGACTTTTATCTTATATCTGCCATATGGATATGCACTCTGTTGTTTCAGATGTAGTGCACTTACAAGCACACAGCCAATAAATCCAAATTCAAGTCTTATTCAGGACAAGCCAGATGTCATATGACAAATAAATTAAACAGAAAAGTAAAAATCTCAACACAGAAATTAGGCACACATTACAGAAATAAACACTGATCCATGTGTACAAGCCTCAGTTATTGACAGTGGAGTATAGTTTTAACTGATGAACAATATCAGCATATGGATTTCCATGTAAATGCACTCAATAAGGGCTCTACGGTTTACAACTATGCCATGGATTCTGTCTTTTGAAAAGATGTGTGTTTCACCAAACACAAAGGAACACACTCCTGCTGCATGCTGCACCCATTTAGTGTCCTCCAGTCTTGAGGAAATTCAGTCATGAACCAGAGATAAAATATGAAAAAGGTGTAAATTTAAAAAAAAAAAGGGGGGGGGGTATGTTTATGTTTTTATGGGCCATTGAACTTAAACAAAAGGTATACCCTTCTCCTCAGATAAAAAGTCATAAGGTTCCCTGTTAAAAGTGCCGCAGCATATAAACAGTATAAAAGTTGCAATTAAATATGAGCTTCTTTTATATTTTATTTGCTTGTTTAACTATCCAGTCATGGTTTATTGTTATTAGTTCTTAGTTTAAAGGCCTAATGTTCCTTTTATCGAAGGGTAGGTACCCCTCCTTTAAAACGAGCTTTTAAAATAATTTAAGCAAGCTGGGTTTCAGTGGAGAGTTTTAGTGTCCCATGACAGTGTAAAGGCTAATCCAAGTTTTCCATTTTGACAAGAATAAAGTCCTGGGGAAACCATGCATACTTGGTGAACACTTGCTTATGGCAGCCCCAAAACCAATCGCCACCTTTCCCAGTTCATTCTTTCATGGGCAAGTGCAGCTTTTGCCCTCTGATTTTTGTGTATATATTTAGTCTCTCATGAATAATTCAGGTGGATGGGTTTTAAACTATGAAATATATGTCGTATTTTAAGACCTCTGTTTATAGTGGCAATTTGACCAAGTCAGTGTTTCCATCCACAGTGCATGAGCTTGTGGTTATACATGTACAGTGTAAACATGAGTGTTAATTGCCATTGCCTTGAATAAGAATAATATGAGATCTTGAAATCAAAGACATGTTTGTGAACGACAATATTGCTCATCTGCTCTTACCTTTCAGGAAGGGTTAAAATCGGTTATATGATATGGAATACTTCTTTCAATTTTAGTTTACTCATCAGAAACTGGTGATAGCCCTAGTCTGTTAAGTCCTAGCCCTTACTCGAAAGCATATGTTTTAATTTAAGTGTGAGCTGAGGTTTTTACAATGCAAGCAACATCAACATTAAAGGTACCCTGTGGAGTTTTTGACCACTAGTGGTTCTGCTGAGAAATGGTTTGATGGGAAAGTTGTTGGCATCTTTTGCTCTACCAGCACGTGCATACAAATGCAAAAGTTCGTCAAGAGCATGGGGGTGGCGTGACCTACAATTGCAGGCGCCAGAAATGCATACTGACAGTTGGGGAAGGCAATGCACAATAATGTACCAACTATACAGGAATAGGAAAAAGAGGGAAAGCTTAAGAAAACAATGGAAGTTTCCAAACATTCACATAGAAAAGCTTTTCAAATGTTTTATGAGGTAGGGAATGCATTCGATATGTTTGTTAGGTCATAGCAAAGTAACTTTTTTTGTAGGAAACATTGGTTAAACAAAATAATGAAAACTTCACAGAGCACCTTCAATATCCAGCTGATAGCCACATGTATTTATGTGTTAACAAGAAGACAGAAACAGCTAACCACTAATCCAGTAATCCAGCTGACACGTTAACTTGTTAGCACAAAACTAGTAAGTGTTAATGGTGAAAAGGCTGAAATAAGTCTTCCAATATGGCTGCCAGAGAGCAATGAGTAATGTCGTATGTAGTATCTGTATTTATGTGAGTTTGTTAAGTAGGGGCACTGTGCTATGACTCTGGTAGCCTGTTATGCAGTTTATCAGCTGACACGCTATTGATCACTTTTTTTTTTGCAGTCAGCCACTAGTAATGGCTAGCAAGTGCTTCCGTCTCATAAAAGGTGCTGGGTCTTCCCTCCACAGTCAGTGAGTGGCTCCTTCCAGTCCTTCCTTTTTGAGGTACTGTGTATTTGAAATCTTTTTCACACCTTCTCAATCACCAGGGACACAGCGGCTTGCTAGTGTTTCAATCAGTCATGCTAAGGTCTACAGTAGCTGCCTCTCAATTTGTGCAGCTAGCTCATGATTTCATCAATCTCTGTCTGTCCTGCTTATGTAAGTTTCAGTGATATTAGTGAAGTTAAGCTGTCATTAGGTTTCTCAAGCAACGCAGCTAATGCTTCTCTTCAGGGGGGTGAAGGTCATCCTATGCTTTTACTTTCAGAAGTTTCACTAATTATACTGTTTTAAATTGCTTCGATTGCCAAGCTTCTCCTCTGTCAGTTGTTAGGCACGATAAAGCTATTTAATGCATTTCCTCACTTATATAACCCTTGATTTCATGAGTCATTGCAGCACCTTCTCGTCCGTCTGTCTAGTTTTACATCCTTAAGCAAGCTGGCAGGACTGCGTGTTCTGTATGAGAAATCTAGGACTGTTCTATATTTATGTACTCACCACACAAGGTAAATCTTAGCAATTGCCACTAAGTTCAAAACAGCTTCTACCAATTTCCATTTTTATTTTCAAATATGTCAGGTACTGACCAGCACTTTTCTCACGCTACAGTTGGCTTGCATTTATCACCTATCATAATCATGGCAAGTTATTAATTAGCATTCATCCTCAGCTGTCAGCTACTTAGCATGGTCCTGTAATTGCTTGACTATTTACCCATCAGTGCAATTACATGTTTAATTCAACAGGTGGCCCTTTCTTTACCCCTGTGTCATTTCTCTGGAGAGAAGTGCCTGAATTGGGCAGGTGCTGACTAATGTACTATCCCAGTCCCTGTGATATTTATATGTAATATGTCCCTTTTTACCAGCAGCATGTAACAGAATTTAGGAATTTAGAGCCAATTGTATTTTTCACAACAACACAATAATGTCTGCATACCCATATTGTGTGGCCTGACAAGACCTGACCAGTTGTATTTCATTTTTCTTTTAAAGGCTACTGCAATCTGGCAAAAGGTTTATGGGTGCCTTATAATGTAAAATGACAAAAACGCAGGTATGCTGTGACCCAGAATATTCTTTGTCAAATGGATTTCACATGAATCCAAGTGAAATGTCAACGCCAAATGTGATGGTAAGCAGGTAGATTGTGGCTCATGCTCGGATCAGACTACACACTGCCTTTTGAGATGTCAGACTACAGCTAAGTGATATGGTGGACTACACATAGCAGCCTGACCAATCATAGCTTGCGGTATTTCATGACTTGCACGACATACATAGGCCAGCAACAAATGTTGACATATTTTAACATCTATGATTGAAAGTGAACCTGGTAACATTCATTGTTACTCTGTGGTTTGTCTTTTTCTTTTGTAGTTGGTAGAAAGACAGTGAGTGTTTGGGTGCACAGCATACATATGTGTGCAAAGGGTGACAATTCACCAACATTCATGAATCTGAAATAATTATCCTTACCCGAGGGTGATTAAAAATGGTAACGGGTTTACTGAAATGAACACATCATAGAAGTTGTCAAATAAGGTGAGAGAAGGCAGAAAATGACATGCTAGCCTTTTTGTTGCAATGTCAAGAAGTATGCCAGAGTTAGTCTGCAAGTCTGAGTCTGGGTTGGGCCATAACTGGCCTGATGATACGCAGTCTGATCCCAGCAAGGCTGAAAGTTACACCATTGTTGTATATTTTAAAATAACAATTAAGACCTTCTTGCTCATTACTTTGTCTTGCATGGAAGGGATTTTTGCTGTTATCAAAATGTTCTCAACACTCACTGTCAGTAAACAATTCAACCAATATCAGCATTTAATTTTCTTCCAAAGTTCACCTCCACATCTTGTGAAATGTATTTCAACCATTTGCTTGGGTTACAAAACACAAGGTCATGTAGGTTTTTTTATATGGGTATAATAAATCTTGAGTCCAAGTGCAGGCAATCAGGTTGTTAGTCTATATACAATATCTTGAGTAGATACCAAAACACTTGGAAAGCCCAGGCCTAATTACTTAGCCCATGGATGTGTGTGTGTGGGTGTTAGCACACACATGCTCATTTGCATATGTTTGTGTGTGTGTCTGCAATCAGAAACGGGCAAGCAGAGTGCTAGGTTGTGGCCTGTCGATACAATGCCAACAGACCTACAGGATGGATTTTCCCCAGATCATGAAATTCACACTTTTGTCTGGCCCATGTGTGATAATAGCCTTGGAATCTGTCTTTTGTTTAAACCCCAGATCAAACCCTGGCAGTTCATTTCATCCAGAGAAACAATCTGGAGCAAACAGATGTAATTAGTTTATTCAATTTAAATCTTATTCCAAAAAGCAATACTCCCTATGACAGACTAGATTTTATCCCCCCATCCAACTTATCTGCTGCAGTGTTATATGGGGTAACAGTAGTCTGCACTCATTATTTTGAATGACTGCACAGTGCCTGTGAGCGAGCCAAAAGGGGCAGGATGTATTCTCACAACAGAGGCCTCCACACATCTACACTTTAGTGAAGGGAAAACAGGGAGACAAGCGTTTCAGCTTACCAAGTAGCATCTCTGCGCCAGCATACAGATCTTATATGAGCACAATAGGCTTGCCATCCAGGGTATTCCTCTCTCTGTCTGTTTTGAAGATCACCAATTTACCCCGGCAGTGACTCTTAAGCGACTGGATCCGACTGCAGTCTGCTTTGCTGTGTAACACATTCCTACTCCGGTGGCTAACATTGTTAGCTGCTGAGGCTTCACTGACCTAAAGATGTTAGCGATGGCAGACAGCCTTGCAGGAGACGGTAAACTGAAGGTGGTGTGGATGCGAGGGGAAACCGTTTTGCTAAACAGCCCAACCTGTCAGCTCAGTAGAAAAGATGAGCCAGTAGAGAATCTTTAGTAGAAAAAGACTGGGGCCAAAAAAAAAAAGTAGGAGCTCTTTAAAGTGAGGTAAAGAGGTGAGTCTGTGGGTCTCAGCTGTTATGGGAGGCCTTTCTTCTTTCTTCCCATAACACAATGTGCCTCACAAAATGGTCAACCTTGGCTAATGATGAAAACTAGATGAATAATGCATCATGGGAATTGACCTAGACTCATCCTGGCCCCTCCTCTCATCCACCTGCTGAGCATGTCCACCCAATGTAATCTGTCTGTGCTTGGCCTTTGACTTGTGTTAGTCACGTACAGGCATTCATATTAAAACAGCTCTAAAGAACCTGGCTAGAAAAGAAAAGCTACATAGCCCAGAGATTCACTCTTCCATCATATTTTTCACTTTCACCCTTCATTTTTTTCATACCTATGGACATCCACGGTCAGTCAACGCACCCTTCAGTTAAAGAAAAGAAAAATGGGCGATGGAATAAACAGTGCAGGTAATTACTTCTATACGGTAAAGTGGTCCAATAGGTAGAATAACAAAGAACATTGATCTCAACTGAAGGTACAATGAGTTTGATTGATACAGTGTAATGTGATTTAACCACTATCAAAAAGTAGTACCAACACACAGAGTACAAAACTAGTCCTTATATGCCCAGCTCCACTCAAGCTATATTATGTTATGCAAGAAAGTTTTATCATATCCCCAGCCCCTCCCTTTTCTGTTCCCAAATTTGAGCCCACAACATCCACAACCTGGAACTGCATTTCCCATGGTCCTGCAAGGGTGTGTGTTTTCCTGCAATCCAATCAGGAAATCCATCTGAAATTGCCCCAATGCAAGGGAGAGGATGAAAATTATTCTTAATAATGACATAATCAGCAGAGCAGCCATCAAGCAGATAAATTGTCATGCGCATCGTGCTAAAATATCCAATTATCCTTTGTCCCCCAGCTCTCTGTGTTGAAGTTGGAACTGCCAGAAAGCCAGTAGGTGGATCCTCACTTCCCACTGGTTTAGTCTTGCTGGCAGGTTTGCAGTATAGATGCCCCCCAAGAGAAGAGGGCTTAAACAGCCTTGGTGCTTAGTGTACAGATCTAGATATGTAAATAGGTTCTATACAATAAAATTGTTCCCGATCCTCAAAAATAAATGGATGAAAAGTATTTGTGACATTTTTTTCCTCAAAATGGTTCCATTGTGCATACAGGGTTTCTTTTTTTTCCTTTAAGTTCAGTCCTTCGCTCTATTCAACAATTGTTTTTGTTTTATCTTACATAGCCTCCATTTATGAAGTTAACACATGCCTAAATTGGTTTGCGCCGCATCTACTCTGTGCCCCACAGTAATCTGCAGTGCCAAAGGAAAACAATATGTTTTCTTTCTTTTACAAAGTGCTCCCCTCTTCTCACCTCCGAGGCGTGTCTGATGCTCTGTTCTGCTCCCAGATAATACTGTCAAGTAGTCATTTGTCAAAAGATCCCGAAGGCCATATCTGTCGCTAGAAAGAAAAAGTAGTTTACTGTACCTTGTTTTGCTGCAATATTAGAACAAAAATAATAATAAAAAACATCCTCCTCTTTGTTTTAGCTTGTGAGGTTGTTTTTCCTTTAACTCATAATTTGTACTTTTTTCTTCTTGTCTTTTATTTTTCTACAAAAACATAATTATACTTTTTTTTCCTCAAGTCCAAACCCCCCAGAAAACCCTTTACTATATTCCCTCCGGTATTAACAGGGTGTCGACAATCCCAGTGTAATTCCATGGGTGTCTGGCGACTCCAGGCTGGCGTTTCAGCTCCTGACATATCTGTGTTTGTCAGCATGTCGGCCTTAAGTCTCTGCTACAGCAGTGGCGTTAGATTTTGCCTCAGCCATCAGAGTCCTGCCTGCGTGGGTACATCCACAGGGCTATACCCGGGTGGTGGAGTGTGAGTGCGGATGGGGCAGGGTGTTATTCTGCCCGCTGCTGGGGAAGGTGTTGAAAGAGTGGAGTGAGGTGAGCCCCCCCATGGTGCTGGGGATCATGGTTATGGTGTTTGGCGTCATGAGCGGGATGTCGTCCGGCGAGCGCCTCATGGCCAGAGTGTAGTCCGGCGGGCAGGCAGTCCTCAACACCATGTCGTGCGGGTGCAAGGAATCGCCCACTCCCCTGCAGTCCCGGTCCAGGTCAGAGTGCTGCTTCATCTGCAGGGACATGATCTCCTCCTCCTGAGTGTGAGCCAGGTCGTTAGCGGCGCTACGCTGGGGGCTGCAGCGCCTGTGGACATCATGCCGGCGCTTGTCCTTCTTGTAGTAAAGTGCGGCAAAGGCCAGAATGTTGAGGAAGAGCAGGGAGGCTCCTACAGCGATGGTCACAGACAGTTCAGTAGAGTAGTCACGCTGGTCCACCAGGTGTGGCTGGTTGTGGCTGTCCTGGGTCTCGGTGGGGAATGGAGTCGGGTTGGGGCGCTTGGTCACCAGAACCTTTGTCTTCGGGGTGCGGTTGGTAGCCTCTGGAGGAGGGATCTGAAGACAGGAAGAACAATGGTCAGTAAATAATTGATTTGAATAGTTTGGTCACTAAGTGCTAGCCACTAGGCTATTGTGCCTAGTGGATCGCACTGGGGCCTCACAGCAAGAAGCATCCCCGCCTGTCTGTGTTAAGTTTGTATGTTCACCCCGTGTCTGCGTGGGTTTTCTCCGGGTGCTCCCGTTTCCCGCACCATCAAAAACATATTAACAGGGATTTAATTAAATTATTATCCAATAGTTCTTAAATCGTATTAAAACTTGCATTCCTTGATAATACAGTCACTCCTGAAAGTAGTTAGCAATACTGTAAATGTTGCTCTCTATTGACTTGCACAGTCTCATACTGCACATGGGGGAGGTTCATCTATTCTGTTTTCAGTTGTGAAATCATTCTGACAGAGAGTAGGCTAAGATTTGGGTTTAGAATAGCATGGTTTGTTTCTTCCAGAAATCAATACACAACATTTTGCAATAATCTGAGCAGCCCAAAACTCAATTTAACTTAAAGCACTTTTTTATTAATTGAACACCTGATATGCTGTTAATGGGATTAGAATGACGAGTAGAAAAGCTGATGTAGATGACAATGTTTGGCTCATGATATGAGAAGATGTGACTTCCCTCCTTCAACATTCTGAAACAACACCACTGTGTGACTAAAAAGAAGCATTTGTTTGTATAATACATTAATATGCAACACGTCATATCATGTCAACCACAGAAGTAGGAGCTCACACTTGGGGGCAGGATTAGACAAGAGTTGGGTTAACAAAACATCTGAAAATTGCAATTTAAAACTCTGTTTTTAAGTTGCTTGGGTCTACTCCAAAACCTTTGGTAGTTATTTTTTAGAAGCAGGATGAGATATTGATGATTTAGTACCAACCTTGGTGGTGGTGGGGATGAGCTGGGTGACCTCGTTGAGGCTGTGCAGATGAGGAACCAGCTCCAACCACAAGTTGACCTGAGGAAAGGAGAGAAAATATGAAGTGGGACACAAATTTAGGATGAGAATGTAATCATGTTGATAACTCGGATGCTAATATTTCAAATTAATCTCATTGATTCAGAACCTTTGCTTTGCTGAGGGCAATTGTTGGGCTTCTGTAAATAACACCACAGAGTACGGTCTAGACCTGCTCTTTTATGAAAAGTACTGTGAGATAACTGTTGTTGTGATTTGGCGCTATTACATAAAACTGAATTGAATTGAATTGAATTTGCATTACTTAAAATTAGGCAGGGGTATGCCACCGTGTTCTTGATTCTGGAAAATGTTATGAAACCCAAAGATAGCTGGTTTAGCCAATCTTGCACATTGTACATTTAAACAGCCAGAACAACACCAAAACAGAAAGTGCATTCAGTAATATCTGACTGTACCTTGTTTGCACGGTAGTGCTCTTTGACCCGGGGCTTGAGGCCAATGTGTAGGTAAAGCTGGTCTTTCTGGTTGTAGCGTGTCCATGCCACTTCTTCAAAGCGATTGGGCTTGGTGTGGATGAACTTCGTGTCCTGGGGGACAGGCTGGTTTGGGTCCCTGACAAAAAGAGTAAAGGTTGAAATAATTCACAGAAAGGTGAAATCTGCTGATGGTTTTATGGCAGAACACAACACAAGTTCATTTGAAACGCAGAAGTAGTAGACACACTGCCTCCCATAGAAGATGCACTCCTCTCCAGGGCTATCAGTAATAGTTATGTCACCTTGTGGTTGTTTACTTTAGGGGACAGGAAGAACTAAACTTAAAGGTGGAGTGAACCTTTTGAGACACGACTGTCTGTTTATTAAAATTTTAATTTTGACCTAAGTATAGCATTTCCCTTAGGCTAATCAGTGTAATTAGGAAAATAATGGGATGCAGTGGTGAGATGCAGCCCCCAGGTTTCATCAAATATTAATCAACAGTTTCTGAGATATCACACCCGATAAAATCAAAAAAGGGTCAAAGGGGGTGTGATGGCTCACAGATGATTGGGTTTCAAATGATTCCGATTGAATGAAAAAGTCTTAAGATAGCTAGTAACCTCAGAGGCTTTCCTAATTTGAAGTTTTATTCAAATGCTAAAGAAAGTGCATGTCATAGTTTTTAAATTATGGATGTCTAGTTGGCAGTGAACTTATTTTATACATAAAAGAAGCCTCCAGCCAAGGAATATGTTTGAGTAAAGATGCAGTTCAAGCATGCTGATGATTTACAGAAAGCAAATGCTTCAGCAGTTGCTATAAAGCGAAAAAACAGCTAGCAATTATTTTAATCTCATGTACAATTCACTTTTGGTAAACATCAGAATTAATCCATAATAAGAAATAAATCAATAATAATACATAATTAACATAACACAAAAACGAACCACTCTCTAAAAGCAGGTCAGCAACCCCATATGAACACCCCATCTTATATTCACTATATACAGAGAAGCTTACAGAGCACATTGCACGTGGGAGCCTGTGCTAAATAGACCCACTTACACTTAATCTGAGCAGAGCAGAGCCAGCCATGTGAGCTATGGAAGCCCATTCAGACCCACTGAGCGCCCCATTGTCTCAGAGCAGCATATGGAGCCAGCCAGACCTCATCAGGAACACGCTTAACCATTCAGATTGGTGGCATAAATCTCCCAGGTACCCGGCATTTCACGTCAATTTGAGGTTATATATGTAGATCATTAGTGCCTTTCTGTTCCCTTCAGGGCTATTGGGCAGTGCACAGAAAAAAGCCAACCCCCCCCCCCATTATGCTCTCGAAAAACAATTAGGGCCATGACTATATGCTGAAAGGCAACGTGAGACAGAAGGGGGGGAATTTTTTTTTTAATTTTGTCCCATCGAGAATGTCAGTCTTCAGGCTACAGCCATTAATTAAGAATGTATTTGAAGATATGTAAAGGGTATCTGCATAGAATACCAATTACACTGTACAGTCCATAAAACACAATAGCACAATTCACTACTCCTGATCATCAAATGTTGGTTAATATTGTGGAAACACAATTACAATGAAATTATCAATTAGTTCATGGTCTTGTTATGGTAATGGCATGCTGATCAAGTGCTGTAAGAGCGATTGCAGAACAAATGCCTGCAAAAATGTTTCAATAACCCCATGGCTGACCTTTAATAGAACTCCTGTATATGAACGTGCCCAAGCTTGTTAACCAGGTTGCTCCATAAACAATGACTGGACAGATGATTTGGAGAATAGACATACAAATGGAATACTTTTATTAATTGGTTATAAATATTTTTCATAATTCCTCCTTTTCTGTGGCACAGCTTTTATCATTTTGATGGAAAGTGCTCTCTGTGGCTTTTTGTAAAAAATAAAAGGTAACTTTGAGTTCTACAAGAAGCTAGAATGTCATGAAATCTGTCAACAGAGGCTTCAAGTGGATATTGTTTTTTTTCTTTAACATCAGTGGCGTAATCAATTTTGTGTGCTAATCTTGAGTTCATTGAATGCATTTACATGTACCTAAGTAGCAGGTAACTCAAAATAAATATGGTTACTCTGTTAAAATTGACATTGGGCACAGGGTAATCTCAGCCTAATACCACCATATTTGTGTTAACTTTTAAGTTAAACTTTACATTTCTTTCAGAATGCATCATTATATTTGTAATTGCAGATTTGAATGTATCATAGTTAAACACAAAGTCATGACCTGACTGCCTCACACAGACTGCAGCCACAAAAATGACTGTAGAGTTGAGTCAAGTTCTCTGTCTGAAAACCCAGTTACTTCAGTGCATGTACTGATTGATTGAAGTTGATGCTAGCCATTTGGCAATAGCATGAGAAAAAGAGGATAAAGCGAGCTAATGCACATTATCAAACAATTAAAGTTTGGGTAGGAAATTTATTTCAGAAGACTTTTTTGTTAGATTTGTTGACATTCTCTTTACATCTCAACAGCACTCAATAAATCAAATGCTCTGAGACAAAATTGACAAGTACAAAGGCTGTGTAAAGAAAAACACAGAAGAAATTTCAGTGTAACTATTACAGACATCAATTCTGGCATGAAAGGGATTAGCCATTATTTTCAGCACAATGAATGTACCCGACTGTAATAGCTGCAATCTAGAGCATGGGTGTTTAGTAAGTTTGAGTTGAAGCTACTTCATTAGGTGCACTTAATACATAAACTTAGTCTTTCAAACTAGTTTACAGTACATTTGAACTCAGTTAACACACTTTGTGTTAAGATGGCACTGCCCAAGACCATGGAGATAACATACAGTAGGTTTTATTGGCCCAAGATTGCAGTGTCACCATACCCTGTCTTGGCAAAGTTTGTCCAGTATGTCATGACCACGGCACTGAGCATCACGTCGTTCTTTGAGAAGTTGCAGGGGAACAGCTCTGTTGGTCCAATCATCGGTAGGCCAAACACATATGGGATCTCATCGCCATGTGCTGCGTCGGCCCACGGCGGTACCTAATGAGCAGCAGATGAACCAAATCAGATCACTATTATTACATTTATGTGATAGATTCAGGACACTGAAAAGCATTATTTTTGCTGCTGACACACAGTTGATATTGTGATGATACACACAGACAGACAAGCTGGGAAAATACAATATTTTTTGAGAGAGAAAAGGGGAAATGAGATACATTTTCAATATTATTTTGCCTACCATATCTGGCTCACTATTATGTGTATAACAGAGAGAGACAAGATGAGAAATATAGCGATGGTGCAGAAGGAAGAGGGTGGCTTTGAGCTGAATTTTAAACTTAGGTGTCGGAAGTCCATGTTACTTGCTGTAGCCTGTTGAATTAAAAATATGCCAAAAGAAAATGTGGGATTGAATCACCAATCCTCGCTTTCTTTTAGGACTGAGTAATTGGTCTGCATAGTTGTGTATAAACAAATATGCAGAAAGTAGTTATTCAACTAAAACTGGGAGTAGGAGTTAGGAAGCTTAAAACTAAAAAAACAAAACATAGGCTACAAACTCAGACTGTTTTTGTGCAATGAAGTACTCTTTGTACTGTAAGGTAGTCTTCACGTCACAAACCAATTAAGTAGCGTGCTCTAAAAGAATCTGAAGCAGATTCCAAATCTTGCTTTCCAAATCTGACACAAAGAAACCTATTCCAAAACTTTGCGTGGAGGCCACAACAGACATTTGAAATGGTCAGTAATAGTCTTGTTGGATTACAGTACAGTACTGGAAAACAGTACAATAGAAAATCAAGTTGCCTGTAATGATTTTATACATTTAAAGCCTCAAAGCTGTGCAATTGCATTCATACAGTAGTCAATAGAAAGAAACAAATGGATGCAAAAACAGGCTAGTTTGCTCCAGATGTCATTTTGTTTTGCCCTAACCAATTAGTAGAAAGTGACGTTTTCATTCTATATTAGTCGACAAGAAAGGCCCAGTAGCAGTTGGTATGATATTTTTGATGGTGATTGAATAATAATTCTATAAGTTGACTTACAACAGCCTGTACAGCTGCAACAACCCCATCCACACACCATGTTTGTGCCAATTATTCACTGATGTAGCTAGGCAGACAGTTAGCTATATAGGAACATCATTGGATCATTCTTAATCCCACCAACAAAACTGACCAACTAAACCAGACCTATTTGAATTGCCCAAATCAGAGATCTTGGTGGTGATTCAGAGATCTGGAACCAGATTGCTTTAAAGCACCTTCAGAGTTGATGCAATATGAGTAACTGATATAAAATCCTACAATAACTGGTAGCACCTTTAATCATGAAACGGACTCTCTATAATCTCGTTGTTTGATCTCCGATTGTGTGGTTTTGTCACTGAAAGCTTTACAAAGGGAACAAAAAGCCAACAGAATTTTGTAACTTTCATCATATTATTGTCGATCCATAAACTAGATGTACCATTACCCGGAAATCCAAAGACACACCTGTTCCGTTTGACAGTGGTGGTAGAAGGCATAGAAGTATGTCGGTGATCCAAAGCTGGAGTGCAGGTCTGCTGTAGCGACAGCTGGTGCCACCCACTGGTGATCAGTGAAAAGGGCCAGCAGTGTCTTTCGGCGAGTCTCTGGGTTGTGCCTGTCAGCCCAGTCAGTGTACATGAACTTGATGGTTTCTCGGAGGATGTCTTTACCCTCTGGATAACCATAGAGGTCATCCACAAAGCTGGACACAGCGTAGTCAAAGTCGTTAGCCTGAACACCGTTTTCGTTGTCCACGATAAGCTCGACGAACTTAAGGCCCTCGCCCTGGTTTACTCCCAGCATAATATCATAGTTGAGGAACTCACCTTGAAAGAGAAGGTGCAGGTGGTTATTAAAAAGTAAAGGGTAAGGATGTTGGTAATTTCTGACTCTTAAGAATGAATTGGTACCTTGCTCCATGAGTATCTGAGGATCATCAGGGATAACATCTCCATCAATAACAGGTCCGAAGGCGATGTGGTAGCGGGCTGGCTGGATGTCTTGATCCACCAGCTCCTTGTAGTGTTTTCTCTGAAGGCACACCACAAGCTCAACAGTGTCCTCCAGGTTACAGCCCACCTTTCGGGCAAGCATCCGGGCATACTTGGCTGGCTGAAAACTGACGGCCCAGCTGGAAAGAGCAGTGCCACTCTGGGCAATGGCTCTCTGGAACAGGCCTGGAGACAAATACAGCAGAGGGGCAAGGACAAAAGAAGGAAATGAATGCGAGCTCGAATAACAGACATATAAAAAGAACAGACATATAATTTTAGACCATCAAAATCAAGGCTGGAAAGTGAGGTGAAGTAAAGTTTAGGGGCTAAAATGCACTGCCTTTAAAGGCAAGGTACCAGAAATACATGTCTTACCAAGATAAAATAAATGAGGGCTACTAATCATGCCAATATTTTTTGGTTACAAGGTAAGACTGGTGATATTCTATATTCTGTAAACTCATCAATGAGCCGCACACAGCCACTGTAGTTTATTTACAGTCAGTTCCACAGACACAGCCTGCAAAGCGAGTGTCACATGACAGATGGAGACAGACGAAGTTGAAGTAGGCTAGTCTTCGGTAGCCTTACTAGCTTCTGTAGTTGTATGAAGGTGATCAGTAATAAGGCTCATAACACATCTGCCATCAATAAAACTTCAGAACTTCAGAAAAGTAAAAAAAAAATATTGTGGTAAAGGTTGTTCATCAACCTGCTTGCATATTTTCTTTCTTCTTTCACCTCTATTTACTTTTGAAAATGCAGTACCATATCACTGTAACATTTTCAGATGTCAAAATCTAGTTATGAGAGAAACAAACTAAAACACTTTTAGCAAAGTCCACATCCCTCCAACATATGAAATTATACCTTTCACGAATATTTATGCATATAAGTTAATCAAAATTTGAAAAACACATTTAAGTGACGTTGCTTGTGTTTCTGTTCCCTTAAAATAAGCTGTTTAGATCTACAGAGATAAAGGGTCCTCTTCCATGGAGTTCCCCCTGTTGCACTGCCTTGTCTCTACAGTAGCCCAGAATGGACAAACCAAAAAGTGGCTCTAGAGAGGTTCTTTCATGTTTTTTCACTGTAGGTTCTCTTACGCGCTTTGAAAGGGGAGGGTGAGGTGAGAGGTATTCGGTTGGTTGCAACCCCACTGCTAGATGCCACTAAATCCTACACACTGCTCCTGTGAATTCTTTAATGTGTGGGTCTGTATATACTTCTGTCAGCTCTGTCTAGAATGTCTACGCAGCAAAATATCAAATAATAATTAATGCCCAGGTCATAAAGATTTCATTATCAGTAACCACTGCAGACTAAAATGTGCCAACACTTGTTTTTCATTTTTATAAAATTTTTATAAAAACTCAATTAAATAACATGTCAAACCCACAGCCTATGGTCTACAAGAAAACATTGTAATAATAGGTCACACAGCCAGTAAACATGCTACAGTGTTATTCTGCTAGCAGCAAATTCTAATCATGTTAATCATGAGACCCTCACCTTGCAGGTCCTAGTGGTCCCTATATACTCTTCCCTAAATACTATATACTATAATAGAGCACATTTATTATAATCTGCAAGTGAGAATAGTGCCCCAAAAAAGTGATGCTTGCTAAATTCAGCTGATTTAGGAAATTACTGAAGACAAGTCAAAATCATTGCTTACTCAAAGGAGACCATCATCATTTCTTTCTTGCAGTATGTGTATCAACCGACATTTTAATTTACTGCTCTTTGGGGGTGCAAAAATACAGCATCCAACTGAGCATGGTCTACAGAAGGGTTGTGTTTAGAACGTATGAGACTCCATTCAAGACAAAATTAATGCATAATGAATAATGCATCTGCAAAACTAAACTGTAACTGTGTTGCATTTCCTCTGTGGCGAGCGCTCACACGGTCACACACTACTGACATGTCCATAAAGTTATGCATACATACTCAAATTTACATGCGGATCTTCCCCGGTGACTAGTGATTTTTACCTTTGGTGGAGTTGCTCCAGCGGTTGCCCTCAGAGTAGTGAGACAGCGTGAGCAGGTTGACACAGGAAGCTCCGGCGCCTGAGCCAAACACAGTGATACGTAACGGGTCGCCGCCGAAGGCTGCAATGTTCTCACTGGTCCAGCGCAGAGCCTGGATCTGGTCCAACAAACCGTAATTCCCTTTGGCTGCCTGGTCACCTGTACTCAGGAACCCTGCACAAGAGAACAAAGGACAGAGAAGACATTAGTATTCTCCTTCTTTGTATTATCATTAGTGACTTACGCAGAAGGGTTCAGTTGGAATAATATCACTTACTTAACCCACTAACAACTGACTACTGACAACTATTAAAAATGTCTTTTAATGGCAAGAGGTATTCCCTCATTTTAAAAAGTCTATCCATTAAATATTACATATGCTATTTGGTTTCCTGATTTTTCATCATTGAAAGAAAGAGAGGTTGTAATAGTATAACCAAAAACTGCTCAAATGAATTATTGCCACAGGGATTCCTTTTGAGAAATAGGAAAACGATGTCTTTGTTCAGTAAGAAGCCCTACACGAGTTAGCATGGATACCATTTCAAAGCAAATAAATGATTGATTTGAGACAAAATATACAAGTAAGGTACAAAACAACAGCTTTATAAGCAAACTCTTAAATAAATGAAATAGTTGTTAGAATTAACCTTAGTGAAAAAGTGACAAACAGGAGGACAGGACAGAAGTCATATAAGTCATATAAAAAACTGCTGTAATAGACAAGGTGACAATCCGATGGGGAAGAAAAGAAAAGCAACACAAACATGACTTGAAATGGATCTTAGAGTAGATTAAAACGTACATACATGTGTGACATATTTTCAAGAACTTTAGTTTTTCACATAATAGGAAAAGTCTTTACATTCAGAGATTTGCAGTTAATTACCCTGCATAAAATGAAAAGTGAAGACCACCAGGGACACAACTATTTTCTTTTCTTTTTGATCTCCTTGATTAAAATAAAATAAACAAAAATCTACTTTTGGACCATCTGAGCATAACTGCCAGTAGATAACAAGGCATATTTCTCAGTAGTATAAGGAAACCCAACAAGCCTGGCTGTTTAATAATTTGCTGCAATAAAGCAAGAGTTATTACCCTGCAGAGCCACTTGAAGAGTGGAAACACTAAATATAACATAGACAGACTCATTTTGGAGAGAGGCATATCTAAATCTACTATCCAGCCCTAAATAGAGCTTACAGTGAGATAATGAGTCATGTGAGTCATGATAACAGCTCTTTGTTTGCTCAGCGTAACATGGATTTGTTTTCTCAAAGCAAAGAATTTTTTTAAGTACTTTAGAAAATGAATAACTTTCAAAATCCTTACAGTTGGCCTGAACAAACCGTTTTTGTTTTCAGAGCCAAAGATTCTTCAATGACCAGTTTAAGCCATACTTTCCCCAACTCTGCAACTAACTATCACATAAACTAAATCAATGCCATTTATTATTACAATCCACCCTGAATAAAACTCAGTTTCAAATTAAGGTATTTTATGCTTCTGATAAAGGTTGGAGTGTATAACAGAAGTGGTCTCAAAATGTAACCGAAAGTGCAACATACAATACATGGGCCACATCATCAGTGACAGGGACATGGACAGGACATAATTGCTGAGATCTGGGAACACAACCAACGCGTTCTCACTCCTAAGCCATCGCACAGGGATGCAAGGTCAAGACCCCTTTGTCTAAGTTGTAATAAACAACAGAAATGTCTTAGTAAGTAGGTGGTTGGGGTGTATGGGTGGGCTTAACAAGGTGATTAACAAGGAGATTTGTGTTTGTTTCCCGTGTGAAACAAAAATTCAACGCTGATTGTTTTACACATTAGTAAGTAAATTAGTAACCAACAATCTTTATTTACGTAAGTAAGGTTAGTAACGTTACTTAAATTACATGAGTAAAGTAAGGTAGATATTTCAACCCAAACCACAATGTTTTTATAAAACCTAACCAACTAGTTTTGGTGCCTAAACCTAATCAAACTGCGACATTTAGGTAATAATTTTACTGTTCATCTTAGTTTCCTCATTCAAACAAGTCTGGAAAGCCTGTGTGTTACTATTATCACCAATAGGACCTGAACTACAAAAAAAAGTCCCAAGTTGTAATAAACAGGAATAAACATAGTAATGCAAGTAATGCAACATAGAAATTCAATAAGTAATAATTTTTAGGGCTGATAATACATTAGCAAACATTACATTAAGTCCTTAAGAGGGCCTATATAGCCACAGAAAACCAACTTGCTTTACAGCAAAACCCCTTCCTCTCCCTCCCAGCATCATCTTTAGCCACACCTCTATCTACCGCATAGCATACCCACAGGAGAGCTCTGGTCTTTTAGAGCAATTTCATGTCCAACAACCCCCACCTCCCTCTCCCTGATTTTCATGTTAAAAGCTGCTTCACCTGATGCAGGTGTTTAGGGAGTCCCGCACGCACATCAACACCACCCATGGACTTCGCCACTCCACTCCACATTTCCTCCCATCCTGTTTTATATGTTTTTTATTCTCACCATCGTCCCATTCTGTGGCTAAATGGAGTGCTTATTACCCAGTGTCAGTCAACACTACAGTTCCTTTTTCACAGGGATTCATTCAGGCCACATGTACAGGGACATCTGCAGTAATGCCTCTGAGGAGGTATGTGCGCCAGTAATAGACTGCAGAAAGGAATAATGTCATACCTGCGCTGTTAATGAATACTGTGGACTAGTCCATATATTTTAGGTGAAAACAGTATATACTGTAAATTCCTCAGCATTAAAATCAAACCCAGTTATGTCCGCAACACTAATTCCAACCCCTTTAACATTGCGGTTCCTTGGTTCACTGCTAAGCTACTGTCAGTAAAACTCAACCCATACCTGCAGGACAGGGAGAGAATATGCCATTTTGGCTGCTTGAAGTGAAATTGTTCAATGGCAGTGACAGCAACAAGTGAATGAAAACAACAAAAAGAAAATGCACAGTAGAACTCCCTGCATCAGAATGGTGAGTATGACGTGACTTTGAGTTACACTGATGGAATTAGTGCTATGAACATTTATACTATCCTGAATGTATCAAGACAACAAGTAAATGTGGAGGAAGTGTTTGCATTGAAAATTAAAACAGGAGCAGACAAAAGAAATGTCTTAAGTATAGTTTCAAATAAAGGCCTGGTATCTATAGTTGAAGTGAATAAAGACCTCCATTGGAGAATTTACAGTGATATACATTATCATCCAGAATGTGTCATTTAAATCAGTTCAGATTAAGGCCTCCCATTGTGCCACCACATGTATCAAATATAAAAATGAATATGTGAGTGATCTAGCTGCATAATATCCATCATATCAGAGGCAGACAGACTAAACCAGGTATGATTTTTAGCGGTGACTGAGGACGGCAATGTCAGTCACTCAGCCCACCACATCTACACTGTAATATCTACAACTACTGGATGCACTGCTATGATATTTGGTACAGATGTCAATGTTCCCTAGTTACAACATGAATTTTAGTCACTTGCATAACCCCTTCGCCTTTCATCTTGTTCAATTGTTTATGACTAAATACTGCAAAAGTAATGATAATCCCAACAAGTCTCTGCTGCACTTTCTGCAAGAAAACGTTTCAGTATGCTGATATTCTAAACTAAGACATTGAGCACTGTAAACATTACACCTGCTCTCACATAAGCGTGTTACACTTCTCTTTGTAAGCATATTTGCATGGTAATGTAAGTTTTTAGCTGAAGGCACTGTTGTGTCTAAACATAGCCTCACAGAGCAGCTAGCATAGCTGCAGGCTCTTAGCGTTGTTAATAAAAAGCCAATATTGTCCCCATATGTAGGACTAACCTATTATGTGTAAAAGATTCATATAAACTTGCAGTGTATGGTGAGCCATAATGAGTGTATGCTAAACCCATTCTACATACATTTTTCATTACAATAGCGGCAGAAGTTCTTAGGCATTTCTATTGCATTTTACACAATCACTGATAGGAGATGTATTCATGCAAGATACAAGTTACCCGTGACTCGATAATGTCTTACAAAGTGCTCTGAAGGGTACTAAATATTAAGTATATAACTGCTGAAATGTTTTTTTTTGGAAAAGTGATGACAGACCTATACAGGATATATAAGATACACACACACACGCAAAAAGGTTTGTTAATATATTCTGTCGTGATGCCATCAGTTCACAAGTAGCATCCTGCTGTACATAAGCACTCTCCCTCTCTCGCTCACACATACACATTTGCTTCACACATATCCACCGCTGAAAGCTCGCAAACATGGACTGCCTCAGACAGTTCATGTACAGACTCCCCCGCGTATACAGTACATTTGCATCAACATTCTCCCACCGACAACCGCAGGAAGGCGAGTTCCTCCGCTGACTGTTTAATTGAGTTCAATCCTTTTCTATTCCCATTCCACTGGCTTATTTATTTATTTGTGTGTTTCTTGATCAAAGTCTAATCTTGTGGAAGCAACAGCAGCCATCTACAAGAAAGATTTTAATTGATTCAATTTAGCTGCAATGCAGGGATGGCCTGGCAATCACAAAGCGCGAGGCAGGAAGAATGATTAGTACGGCAACAGTGGTGGGTCAGCGGTGCAGGGCTCTCCCTCCCTCACACGCGCACACACACGCACACACACACACACACACACACACACACACACACACACACACACACAAGGGTACTTGTGCTAATGCAGACACGTGATACGAGAGCCACTAATGTGCATACACAGATGTGGATGCAAAGAAAACACAAGCATGTTTGATGTGGACTATTTGAGCACCTAACGCTGATTATTTTTCATGCACATTCCTTAACCCTCAATCTTTTTTAAATCTAGTTTAGTCTTCTGATCTTAACACTAAAACTGCTGTTTCCTAAACCAACAAATCAATGACATACCGCACTAACACAATGGTCACAGTTTGGATAATTCTGTCATCTTCTATATCCTTGCGAGGACACTCAGTCCTTACATGAAACAAATGGATGGACACAGGTGTATAAGGCAGCACAGCAGCAGTGGCTGCAGGTTGGAATTGCTTAACAAAAGAGAAACAGCAGAACTGACTTGCACTCACATACAGTCCATGGCTACTGCTCTTAGCCTTGGTAATGCAGCACTATATAATAGATT